GAGAGGTTTTGGGGGAGGGGGGTTAGCAGTGTTGTCAGTGTCTTTTATAGGCATTATTTTGCTAATTCCTGCACTAAATCATAATGTAGCTTGCTTGGCTTTTGTTACCATCAGGTGTGAACCCAGCTATAGTATCTGTAAAGCTTGACTGATAGCAGGAGTGAGGACTCTGAAGACCTCGGGGCTTCATGTAGCTCTAAATTTGTTATTGGGGGTCTCCAGATGATCTCAGTTCAAAGTAGCTGAAAATGTTCTCAACTGTAATATAATCTCTAAAATAGGCTTAACATTTTTTGAGCCTTCCAAAAATTGTAAGTGTGCCCCCAGTCTTCAAAAAGTTCCACACCTATGATTTATGGCTGAGCATTATATATGAAGTGGTTCACTATGGCTTGTTCAACAAATCATATTTAAATATAATTATATCTATACATGACAAGTGGACACAGTGTATTTAGACAGACAGTAAATTGCTTTTAAAATACAGTATTCATGAAGAATTTAAGACACTACACAGACAACAAGTTTTAACAGCTAAAGCTCTCTACCAAAACATTTACTTAATTGAAATCAACAGAAAAGCTACCACTTATGTTCCACCTTGTTGGCCTTACTGCCTCCTCAGCTCTGACAGATGTGCAGGTTGGCCAGTACACCATAACCATGAACAGAGAAAGCAACTCCGGCAGAATATAAATCTGATTTTTAGTCGACAATTGGCAAGCGCTTTCCAGGCATCAATCAATGGCACCATAAATACTCCCTTAGAAAAATCATTCCTGGAGCAGGTTGATTAAATTCATCTGCTAACAGAATATCCCTTGAAACTGACAGCTGCAAAGTGAACATGGAGGGTTTATAATTCAGGGGCTGAATAGCTCTGATCTAGGACTAGGAGGAAAGGCTCTCAGCTCAGTGCTCTGCAGAATAGTACCCATTAACAGGATGCACTGATAATGATGACTAGACTTATTATCTTACTTTCTGTCTTTCCCCTCTTTATACTAATTGTATTCTAAAACTATATGAAACATTGCAACTAGGTTACTAATTTTAAGAAAGGGAGAAACGGAAATCCATTAGTATATTTTTTTTGTATGTCATGGTGGGATTTATGTGAATGATTAGAATAAAATAACCATGGGGAAGATTCACTTGACACTGTTAAGAGAGTTTGGATGTATAAGTTATATTTATAACATAACTTATCTATATCATAATGAATTAAATCATGTTCATTGCTTGTTAAGTGCTGGGAAACCTTGGGGAAAGAGCCAGGTATTTGTTCCTTTCTAGAATCATAATTCACAATAGAGTTGGCATTTAAGAAAGTTGTATTAGAACAAAATTTGAAACAAAAAGGATGCCACAAAGGACATGACTCTATGGCCTTGTCAAAATATTAGCAACTTCAGGGCACGAGAAATATTTTTTCCTACCCTTCCTCCAAGATTTCAGAAGAGCTTATATTTAAGATTCACAACTTTTGACTAGGTTCACATATCCTAAACAAAACTAAACAAAACAATGTGGTTTTGTTTATTTTGAATTACAGTAGTGTGATGTGTGAATCCAGGGAACTGTGGAATAGTCAACAAACCATGGTTTAAAGTATTGTAATATTTTGTAGTACGATGTACAAATACAGCCTGGAAGTTATTTAATAGTTGTTTGAAAACCAGCAAACTTGTTGCTAATTTTGGATCTGAATCTAAATCTCCATAATCTGGGTAGTATTGTTTATCCTGCCCTGTCACTCAGTAGAAAATATTATAACATTTCATCATAATGTTTATAATTGTTAGGGAAAAAACCCAAAATCTGTATCTAATATCTGTCTTCTAACCAGCACATGGAAATGTTTGTGTAGAACTGTATTTAACTAGATTTCAGATGGGCCAATCAATTTCCTTAACTTTCAAGGAAAATTGGGATATCAAAGTCTGACACTTCTACCCTCTCCTGTTTATCAGCTGCAGAAACAGCTGGGTGAGGTCATCCACTGGTTCTGGGTTCAGTAGCATCAGTACACCGATGATACCCAGGTTTACATCTCTACCCTGGGCTGCTCAAATTAAGCTGTCAAGGTGCTTGTACAGTGTCCAGAGGCTATTTGGGTCTGGGTGGGGAAGAACAGACTCTGGCTCAATCCTGACAAGACTGAGTGGCTGTGGCTGTTTGGCCCCCTTGGGTCAGGGACATTTCCACTGTTGCTCTTGGATGGAGTTGTACTTTCCCATTCCAAACTTGTACACAACTTGGGAGTCCTCCTGGACTCAAAGCTACTTCTCAAAGAGCAGGTGGCAGCTGTGGCCAGGAGGGCCTTTGCATAGCTACCTCTTGTGCACCAGTTTGTTTATTTATAGATTTAATTTATATGGCCACTCAATTCACACTACTATGAGTGGCTAACATCAGATTAAAACAACAATCTCTCTCTACACACACACACACACACACACACACACACACACTCTGTGTATATATGGAGAGAGGGGGGAGAGAGAGAGAGAGAGAGAGAGAGAAAGAGAGACTCCTAAAAATTGCACTTAAGCCCACCAGTACATCTGCCTAATCAGCCCTTATGGACTGGCTCACCCTGGCCCAATTCCCAAGGGAAAAAACAGTTCTTTAGCACTTTTTGAAAGTCCAGTAGGGTTAGTGTCATTAGGATCTCAGGGAGTATGCTGTTCCACAGGAAAGTTACCTCAGCAGAGAAGGCATGTCTCCTGGGTCCCGTCAGATGGTGGTGTTTAATGGAAGGAACCTGAAACATGCCTACCCTCTTCAATCTTGTGGGATAGGCTAAAACAATAGGAGATAGAGGATCTTGCAAATAACCCAGCCCTTTGCCATGAAGGACTTTATTGGTGGTAATCAGCATCTTGAATCGTACAGTACCCAGAAATCTACCAGAAGCCAGTGCAGCTTACAAAGTAGAAGTGTTATATGGGTGCACCTCAGTGCATATGTAATTACTCACACTGCTGCATTCTGAACCAGTTGCAGCTTCTGAGTGATCTTCAAGGGCAACTACATGTAGAGCATGTTGCAGTAATCCAAATGGGAGTGGACCAAGGCATGAGTAACTGTGAGTAGGGCCTCACAATCCAGGGATGGGTGCAATGATGCACAAGATAATTTATGCAAAAGCCTGTCTAGTCATGGCTGTCTCCTGCTGGATAAACAGGAGCCAAGAGTCCAGGAGGACTCTGAAATAGTGTATCAGTTATATCTGGGAGAGTGCTAACCCATCTAGTACCAATGATGGAAAGTCAACATATCTGGGAGGCTATAGAACACATAGATACTTAGTCTTGCTAAAGATAAGCCTAACCCTTCCTCATCTAGTCTCCTATAGCCTCCAGACACTGAGAAAAAATCTTGAGATCATTATTTGGTTGCCTAAGAATGGAGATGTATGGTGGGGTATCATCAGCATAGTGAAGATACCTGACCCATGCCAGCAGATGGTAGCTTTATAAAGCTCTTAATAGCAGTGTGGAGAGAATAGAACCCCGACAAAACCCCTCAAAGCAGGAGCTTAGAACTAGATCCCTCCCTCCCATTAACACCAACTGGAAACAGCCCTGGAGAAAGGAGGAGAACCATCACAACACCATTCCTCTCACTCTCACCCCCCTGAGCTAGTCCAGAAGAATACCATAATATTCTTTGAAAGCTGTTGAGAGATCAAGGAAGGCAAGGATGGATGCATCTCTACCATCCTCGTCCTACCAGAGATCATTCTCAGATGTGATCAGTGCTATCTCAGTACTATAACCAGGTCTGAAGTACAACTGAAAGGAGTCAAATAATCTGCTTCCTCCATAGCTTTCTGAAGCTGTAGCCCAACAACCTTCTCAACAAACTTCCTAAAAAGGGAAGGTTGTAGACAGGACAAAAATTGTCCAGTAGTGTTGGGCCCAAGTTTTTAAGGAGCAGATGCACCACTGCCTCCTTAAATGTAAGCAGGACCTCCTGAATTAATTTATCACCACTTGGGTCCAACCACATCTTCCAGGAGACCTTGGTAATCAAGAGGGACATATAAATAGTCCTCATTTAGCAACCTCAAATGGGACCAGCAACTTGGTTATTAAGTGAAGTGGTTGCTAAGTGCAACTTCAACTGGGCTTACGGTCTTACTTCAGCTTCCCTTTGCTTTACAGACCTGTCGTAAATGCAAGGATTGGTCATAAAGTTGGGAATAAGATGATTATTTGACTTGATCCATGAAGGCTTTCCTTAAATGGTTTAAATGCTCTGACAGGGAACAGGAAATCTCATCATTTTTCACATCTTGGAGCATAAAAGTTAATTGACTTGGAAAAAAAATAAAATTTCACTATGGATATATAATCAGCGACTCAAAATATTGCCCATCAGATTAATTACATTAGCTTGTGATGCCTGCAGTTTGTTGAAAATGTAGGAATTGGTACAGATATTGATCATTTATGGTGTTTATGAGCTATCTTGTTAAGCAGAATTTTCTCTATGTGTATATACACACAGAGGCCTTGTTACCAACAGAAGATAGATATTTATCATGTATTATAGGGAGGTGGTGATTTAAAACATTCCAATGTGTTGCAGTTGCTTAGGGAATAGCACAAGTAATACTTGTAGCCTTGTTCCTGTTGTCTGCTTATCTTAAGCACTTATAAAATAATCAGTTCATGATAAAGGTACTATAAATATGTAGTAGTTTTTCCAAAAGGAAGAAGACTCTGAGAAGTTTCAGTCTTGTATTCACCATACCACACTCCAATATTATAGCCCAGTAGCATTCTATTATATAGGTGGAGAACTGAAACATAAAACTTAGGGAGACTACATGTACCTTGCATAGCCCCAACATGAATGCATGCCTTCTTGGTTGCTAACCTGAATGTCTAATCTCTGCAGTTTCCAGCAAAATTCCATCCCTGAGCTACTGCAAATATTGTAGGGTGTGCATTTTGCAGGGCACTAATCACATCTGTGCTTTTTTAAAGGAAACCCCTTCAAAGCACATATTCTCCAAGCATGATAACAGGCATGCCTTCCCAGGATCGGCTACATATTTTGAGCATGTGAGTATACTACAGGGAGGGAGGAGAGGAGATTCCAAATCTCTTGTTTCTCTCCTCTTATGCAGCAAAAGAGGAAGCAGTAAAGTTAGACAAAGGAGCGCTCAGTTATTTTTTTAAAAATTCTCATATCACTAACCCTCCCTCAGCAGCTTCTTGGGTTCTCTCAGGAACTCATATCACCAGTTGCCTTTGTAAAAGCAGCAGCTGAGCCATGCACCTAACCTCTTAATTGCTTATAGCTTCAATTGTACCCAATGTGTGCCTGAAACACCCCACCATTTGGGGCAGAAATCAGTAGCTTTGGGGCCAGGATGCTAGTGAAGCCCAATCTGTGTGTTTTCCTCTGGGTTGGTTGAGTTTTTTTTTTTTAATCCGGTGTCTTTTATTGTGTGTGTGTGTGTGTGTGTGTGTGTGTGTAGATAGATAGACAGACAGACAGACGCCTAGAGTTATTTGATTAACATTTGAAAAATATGTAAAATAAAGAAGACACAGCTGGGGAGGAGGAAACTCAGGACTGGATTCTCCCACACTATACAAACAAGTGTTTCTGTAGGTCTTGTCCAGCATCTGAACTGCAATAAACTGAATGGGGTTTTTGGCGGGGGGGGGGGGTCCCTTCAAGGAAGACTTGCCTCCTGGTGACTGCCTGGACAAGTCCATGCAGTTTTCTTGGCAAGATTTTTCAGAAATGGTTCCTAGGGCTGAGGAAAGGTGACTAGCCCAAAGTCACCCAGCTGGCTTCATGCCTAAGGTGGGACTAGAACTCACGGTCTTCTGGTTTCTAGTCCAGTGCCTTAACCACTACACCAAAGTGGCTCTCAGATGGGCACATATATCTTTGAAAACAAAAACAAGCAGGGGGCAGTGATTTAGTGTAGGGGTGGGACTCCCCCCACTTGCCACCCCATGGAGTCCACTAGCAACAGTTGCTTAAAATTAGCAGCATTATTTCTGGCAACTTTGAGGTGGGAAACACACAGAGAAAAACGTATTGGATAAATCCTCAAATAAGCTTAAGAGTTTTTAAAAAGCAATCACCTGTCCAAAACCTGAGGGGGGGGGGAACCCACCAAAAATCCTGATCTGCCCACATACATGATCCAACCCCACACACTTTGCATTGCACCATTGCTTTGTCCACTGAGGCCCTTACCCACATACGTAGTCTGATCTCCAAAATGTACCTCCAGATTTATTGGGTTTTATGGGGGGGGCAATGTGCTCATAAACACTTTCCTTGGTGTGTGCAACCCCCCTGCTCCACTGTACTTTTAAATAGTTCTACATTATTGTAATTATAAAAAATAAAAGGGAGAAAAGCATTTGTCCTTAGAGTTCTAATTGTTTCTAAAAATGCCCCTACATCACACATGTTCTTAGAAATAAAAATAATAACTGGCTGCAAGCCAGTGGTTTGTTTATAAAAGTTCCCTCCTGCAAAGAACAAAAAAAAAAAAAAACAGTTTGAGGTTGATTGTGAGCATCCTGGGGGAAGGGATCAGAGTATGATCAGGAGCAATTCACCCATTTGCCTGTTGGTACATTGGTATTCTATGACTGGCCATATACATTCTGGTAGCCATTTTGTGAATGGGTCACCTCCTCTGGCTGCCTTCCATTCCTCTTCTCCTTCTATCTGGCCATGCAGCTTCTGTGGGGAGAGGACCCCTTGCTGGAGGCCATTCTTCTTGGTAGCTGTCATTATTGCAACAATAGTTCTCAGGTGCTTACAAGAAAGGGATGCTAGAGGCCTTCAAAAAGATTTCTTCTGCCTGCCAATATTGCTGTTGATAATTCTGTCACCGGGCCGACAAAGGGAATTGGAACTAGGGCTCACTCCACAGAGGCTGCCTTGAGATATCCCATCACTGTCCAAGTGCCATCATCAGAGAGTTACAAACTTGTTGAATTCACTATTAGGCCCAAAGCAAGCAGCTATTTTCCAACTTTGGGAGAACAAGTTGAGCCAGTCTAGGTTCACCAGGTGGGCTCCCTGGAGGCTCTTTTCAATGGCCTCCACAACTTTTAAAAGGTTACATTGGTGTTCACCTTTGGTAAATGGGGTCTTTTTTACTCTTGAATTAAGCTGGTCAGCTCATTCCTTTGCAGTGCAAGTCTGAACAGATTCTCGTTGTTTTATGGCAGGGCTTAGGGAGAAGGAGAATAGATGGGAGCCTTCCCAATACCCAGACCTTGATTGACTGGATCCCCTTGAAGGAGGAATTAGAACGCGAGAGGCCCCTTCTCTCAAGTTATCAGTTTGACTTCCACTCCAAAGGGAAGGTTCCCCAGGTCTTAATCCATCATCGTCAATCGCAAGAGCAACTCCTCCAACGCATACCCAGCACCACCTATCAGCATACCTACCGAAGCTACTGTCTGTATGAACCTAACCTGAGGATATTCAAAGAGCAGCAGGTGGCTGAACTGAAAGAGCCCGAGACTACTGTTCCTACTGTTCCTGCTTCCAGTGAGCCCAGCACTCTGGTCTCCAGTGACCCTCCAGCCCCAGCACCTGCCTCCAGCGAGGCCACTGCAACAGAGACCAGAACAGCTGCAGAGGCTGTTGCTCCAGCACCTGTTTCTGGACGTTCTGTGTTTCATCTGCCACCCCGACTGACAGTTTCTGACTGTTTGCACTGGCATAATTGTTGATCACACATCTGATAGATCCTCTTCATTTGACTGAGGAAAATGAAATACTCCTTTGTAAATGCTGAAAGAGAGAGAAAATAAAATAAAATCTTGCTGGACTGCAGAGTATTTCCTTAGTGGAGAATATTATGTAGCTCACAGTCAAGTTGTGGGGTTCTGCCAAGGCAGAATATCTGCTATGGATGGCAACAGAAAGGATTGTGTAGGTTTTATGTCTCTTTCTAACAAAATTATCAAAGGAAGTGTGCATGTTTTTCAGGAAAATCTTTCCATTAACTAAAGAGATGTGTTCAGCTTGTTCAAGTTTATTTGTAGCAGATAACATCACTAGCTTGTATTTCAAATTAAGTAGTTGAAATAAGGTTGTTAGTGGAGGGGAACTGGCTAAGGAAAGTATTTAGGTAAAACAGCAGGCATGAAGAATGAGCATCAAAGTTTGTGAAAAACAAAGCTACAGCTCTTCTAGGTTCGTCATTAGCGACTTCAAAAATGCTTTTATCTTTTCATATGAGAACTGAATAGATGGATAAGAATTACAATTGTTAGACTGGATTTTAATTCAGCAAGAGCTTCATTGGAAAATGTTGTATGTCCATAAACTTTGGTATGCGCAAATGGACTATAGGCCACCATTATTTTGAGGTATTTGGATTTTTCTCTCCTAACATTATAGCTTGAAATTAGAAATTAAGCAGGTATTATGAAGCAAAATCTTGTAATTCATGCTTGTGATATGATAGAAATATACCCAATCCCAAGATCCACATGCATGGGATATTATTAACAGATAATTATATGACATAGGTCTAGTGATTGCCGATAATAAGTTCATACGGTGCTGTGTATGAATTGTGTATAGCCAAAATTGTGCCATATTTTGAATTTGGTTTTGGGTCCAAATCCGAGTATCTTTAAAGAAGTGAAACCCAAAATATGTAGACATCGACTTCAAGATTGGCTTCAAGGCTGAGGTGGGGCGGGGTAGCTGCTTTCTAATGCTTCCTGATGGCCACATTTGCAATCTCAGTCATAGGTGTCCTAAAGTGCAGTTCTTGGAAGCTGTTACACATTGCTGTGCATCTTTGCATTTTCAGCATGAAGATCTGAAAGGGGATTTTAAGGGCTTTTGTCCCCTAGATACAACACAAACATATCTCAATGACATCTCTTTTCTACTGTGTGCCCGTGATATTGCCTTTATCTCACCCCCAGCCTGTGTGTGAAAAAGGCTTAGGCTGTCCTTATTCTCACACCTTCTAAGGGCAGCCTCAAAATGATCTTGGATTGAAGTCAAGGGAATACAGTAACTTGAAACCAAGGCAATAGAGGCAAGATTAGTATTGGCAACAGGGATAGTAAATTCCACAACAATAGTTTTCTGCTGACTCAAGAAGATTGGAACACTGTGTACTTCTTCCGACTCTACAATCACCTATGTTCACCTGGACACATAAATAGGACGTTTGGCTAATTGCTTCATCTTTTGATGAGGACAGGCTGGTTCTTTGATAAAGATGAGCACGAAGCTGAGTTGCAGGCTAACCTGAACGCTTATGAAATATCATGGGAGCTGCCATCCACCAACTAGAGGTCATAAATTGCCCCCCTTTGGTCTAGAGAATGCAGTTGAGGATTTAATATTGATAAAACAGAGAGCATGTAACACTATAAAGATACTGCAGAGGTAATGTCTAACCCAACAGTGAATGAGGATACAACCCAACATTGAATAAGACAGAATGCCAGGGGGAAAAAATCCACTGATTTTATTGGCATGAGGTGCTACACCACCTCCTAGGCACTGAACTAGAGGGCACCTTATGTGCTACATGAGACACAGAGAGAGTTAGGAATATACCACACAGGGTGTAATGGTTACACCCAGAGTCCTAGAGTCAACTCAGCTATGCAGCAAGAGAGATATCAGCACAAGGACAGCAATCACAACTTGAAGCAAAAATACTGGAGTACCTGCTCCATGTGGATAGCACTTCCTTTTAATCTTCCCCAGAACCAGCTGAAGAAACTCTGCTGCTTTTCATAAATAAGAAACAATCTATGCAGCAAAATAGGCATGGCTAGAATGTGGGTGAAGCTGTATCGCAAGCTACGTGATTGCTTAATTGCAAATTGATCTCCCAAACTCAACTGGTGATTATCAGGTCATCTCTCAAACCTTTTGCTTGCAAGATTAACAGTGGAATGCTAAATATGAGTGTTACTAATGCAGCAACATTGATGTACATGACAATTTGCAGAGTAGCTGAGCCAAAGAAAGGGAAGGGAAGGAAGAGATTTTTAACCTAGAGAGCTTCAACAAAGCGAAAATTATAGTATTGTTGTGGTGTATTGGCTTTATATTCTATTGCCCTGGAATACAAATAAATAACCAAAGGGAAGAGAGTTGAATTGAGAGTTTGCTTATGAGAAAGCAATCACATGGCCACTTCAGTCAGAGTTCACCTAAGACAGCCCACATTCCCAACCCTGTTCCTTTGGAAAACTATGCGGACTGAATAAATCATAGCTGCACATCAAAAGAATCAGCTCCATCAAACCCACTTTGCCCCAGCAGTCGGAGCTGCTCAAATGCTTGACCCTTGCCTTGCCTACAGAACAGACTGCTCTATCTCTGAGCTACTTTATGCTTTGCAGAGATGAAATGAGTTATTTGCAGAACAGCAAAAGGAAAAGTCACTGTGGCAGGCCTCCATGTTGGCAATAAAGCTCTTCTCACTGCTCCCTCGTATGCCAATTCTGTCATCAACAGGCACTTGAGTCCTCTTGGTGTACGCTGGCAGAAAACCTTTCATAATAAAATTTGATCAGACCTCTTCCTGTAGGCACAGGGCCTCCACCGCACTGCTGGGGCCTTGAGCCACCCCTCCAATCACAAACAGCAGGTTGGGAGTCTCCAACCTAGAACAAGAGCAGCGGCCAGTAGGCATAGAGGGCAAAGGCTCCCATTTCTTCTTGGCCAGATTAAAACCTTCCACAGATCCCAGAGGACTTGACTGGTTCCCTGGAAGAAGGAGAGATAAAGATGCGTGAGTTGAACAGCAGTTGCCTTACACGACTGGTATTCTGTTGGCATCTGTCTCCAACTGCGAGGCCACATACTAAAGGCATTGGGATTGCGCACTCTGTTAGTTACAAGAGAACTGTACAATTGAACTCGACCAAGCCAAACACCCCCCAGGATCTACTGCCTGGCATGTCTTGCTGCTGAAACAGGATGTGTGATGCTTCAGAAAGCGAGAGACTTCTGAAAGCTAGAAACCTGGAGCCAAAATTAAAGGCAGAAACAGGGCAGACAGATCTTGGCACACTTTCTCACAGGAGATCACATTGCCAACACCACTGGCCCTGCCTGCTGCCATTCTGCATGAAAGCCAGCAAGACAGTGCCAGAGGATTCAGACTGCATATTTTCTAAGAATCTCTGACTTACATTTGAAAGCAGATCTTTCTGGATTTATTTATTTTGTATATTATTTATTTATTTATTTATTTATTTATTTATAAATTTATATGCCACGCATCTCCCCCAGAGGGTGACTCTGGGCGACTTACAAATAAATTATATAGAGAGTGTTTATATTTTCTATTTACATATTAAGCCATCTAATATAGATTTTTTTAAGGCCAAGAAAGCTGGACAAAAGTATAAAGTTTGGTGTTATTTCAATGGGGGCATAGGTCACCCGAAGCAATTCTGCTATGATGCTAAGTCTCCCCATTCTACAGTAGACACTTTCACTGTGGAAATGTCAGACAAAACTTATCTAGACTTCCTTCAATCTATATAAGAAAGGCGGCGGGGGCGGGGGGAGGATTGCAACATGGGATTGTAGCAGGGAATGAGCTACAGATTCAGGGCCAAAAGAAGACCCAGGGCCATCTATCACACAACAGCCTGATGAAGCACCATTGTCAAACTCTACAACAGAACCTATGGTACTAGTGCAGATGTAACTCAGTTGCACTCTTCTGTTGGAGAGAAAGGGAAAGCGGAATAACAGAGAGAGTACTCACATTAACTCAAATTAATTTAAATGTAACTTAATATTAAGGTAAGTTAAATTAAACTAATTTTAGTGATTGTCCTGGTCTCACCTGCTGTTTTGAAATATGGACCTCAGCATACCTTCATGGGTCAAGTGTGGCCTTCAGACTGAAAAAAGGACTGCCCCTCCCCCACCCCCAAATAAAGCAGACAAAGCTTTAAGACAGTATTGTCCAAACTTGGCCACTTTAAGATGAGTGGCCACTTCAACTCCCAGAATTCCCCAGCCAGCCATTGAGTTGAAGTCCACTCATCTTAAAGTGGCCAAGTTTGGACAACACTGCTTTAAGAGGTTAAGGAAAATCATTTTTAATCCAATCAGCCTTACCCTTTTGCAAGAGATATAAGCCCATGGAGCATACTCCTGAAAATATTCCCAACATTAGATTCCTCTTCCTATAAGGCCTGCTCACAAGGTTTGTGAGGCAGAAGATGTTTTTTATCTCACTAATTCCATTTATTACCTGAAAGGTGGCTAAAGTATAGTAAAACACTCAAACTTTGTTTATTTTCATTTATTCATTTATTTTAGTCCTGAAATAGTCTATAAATCCATGCCTCATGTTCCTCATGAATGGTTCTGGTGAACTCCCACAACTTACACCATGAGCCAGTCCTACCATTGCTATTGCCTGCTATTCTGACAGCTCCCTTAGACTAGCACTCTTTTGTAGCCAAGGTGCTCGAGCTCAGTTCACTGGATGGGCCAGGACCTAATCTGGGACTTTTTGCCTGCACACCATGTTTTCCACCACTAACAGGAGCCCTTACCAGGCAACATTCAGCAAGGCACATATTCCAACTCTGCTTTCCCTCACTGCTTAAGTAATTCAGAAAAATGCTGCTCACAGAACACCAGGAGAAACAAGACTCTCTGAATGCAATAAGGTTAATGGATGCTAAATCCATATGAAGAATAGGACTAAGATGGCGTGGCTATGTCTTTGCTGCATCACGTCATTGTGACAGTCGGCATTAGCAGAGGAAAAATAATGGATTTACTCCCAATCTGCTTGTTCTTCCCTGAAACCATCTACTGCCTCTGCCCCTTGCTAGCTGTTTGCCCACCCCATTAAATTTCTTTATAGTTTCCCCCAAGGAAAAAAGCTGTCAGGAAGAACGGATTGCAGAAAGGAAGTGGTGGGCGGGAGAAGGATAAAGCATCTGTTCCTGCTATTCTAAGGCCTGGCCCCACATCCAAATTGAGTAACAACATCATTTCTTGTCCTTCCAAATGAGTTTGTATCCAGAGATTTTGTGCCATATTTGCCGAGTGACCTAGTTTTCACCTAACTGATTCTAGCATGGTGTTCACCAATAGAGCTGAAAACAATTCCTTTTTTCATGCTTTGAATCCACATAAAAATACAGCCAAGCCTTTTCAAGACAACTGTTTATACAATTCTCATACAATTCTCATGATTACTGGAGAAGAGCACTTGCAAACGCTCTGAACATCAAAGAAACTGTGTGAGGAGAGACTGCATTAGCCTCTGTGTTCACAGGTATATTAATCTCTTCTGATTATCAGGCGGCAGGGCCAACAATAGAAGCAGCTCTTGGTTATTACCTTGTGTGACAAACCCAGCATTTTTCCTCTCTTGTAGAACATGTCTCCGAACAAAAAAGTCCAGACATATCGGAAACAAAATCTGCACCACTACACATCCAAGTATGACTTGCCCCTATGACTCAACCTCAACTTTATGTTAGCTATGTACAGGAATCAACTGGACAATACACGATGCAAGGAAGACCCTCTACCCATTTCCAGAATATGTGTCCTCATGCCACCACTTGTATGTCAAGGTCAGCCTGCAGTTCAGGCAGCCCAAGTGTGTCTTCTAGTCTTCCCTTCTGGAAATATTTTCCCTCTTATTCAGGCTCAAGTTGCTCCAGATAGGCAACATGGGACACATTGCCCTACATCATTCCAGTATTGATCAGTTAGTCTGAATTTTGCTCTTAGGGCATTATCTAACATTCTCACTGAAATACATTTGCTTAATGAAATCTTCATTTCTCCAAGGAATAAGCTAAGAGTCAAGATTATGGATTTGCTACACTGTGTAGTTCCAAGGGTCTTCTCCCTGCAAGCTCCTTTGATAAGGTAGTCTTAAAGATACTTTTAATTGGACTTCTCTGACTTAAGCCCATAGAAGCCCAATTAAAAGTACAGCATGTACAACAAATGCGGGCTACTGCTATCCCAAGAAATCTCAAGTCTTAAAGATTCAGTTCCTATTAAATTTCAGTCGGGTCTTTATTTTTAGAAGTAACTTTCTCAAATTCTTTCTGCATAATTCCTTGATAAATATGCTCAGTTGGAAACTAGCTGATTTTATTCTTCTGCCTAGCTGGAGTCAGTCTTATTCAAATGCACAATAATTGGGAATTTTAAGAGAGTTAAAGGAGGCTCTGGAAAAAGATGAATCCTTTCCCACATGTATGAATCAGACTGGATTCCTGCAAAGGTAAGGTAGCAACTATTGTTATTATACTTTTGCTATTGATATTATCATCACTGGTTGGGGAGGTAATTATACAAAATATATAACACATAGTGTACGGCAGGGTTTTAGAAGCAGATGCTCATTTTTCACAGCTCAATGATGTAACTTCTTTGGGAAGATAGAGCGCTGGTCTGATGAAATAGTAAAATCAGCTCTTCCAAAATAAAGCAGATGTGAAAAATACAGAATCACCAACTGTGAATGTCACCAACTGTTCCATCTAATCTATTCTTTTTACCTAGACTAGCTCCAGGTCTTCAAACCCTTTCCTGCAAATTCCCTAAGACCCTTGAAACAGACATGTCAAATCCTGAAACAGAGAGAGCTTAAAAGGGTAAAGTATGTTTTCCGCCACTAAAATGGCACTTTCATTTTTTTTACTTGCTGCAGAGTCACCATTTGCTATGCCTAAACTGTTATTAAGGCACTCAGCATAATAGCATATAAAAATTAAGAGACAGGTGTGGCTGGAATAGAAAACTAGAGAGAAAAACAGCCAAATATCAAAGTGCTTGTTTAAAAAATAAGGGTTTTCAAAATTAGGTAAGACTGTCATAGACAAATAAGAAGTGAGTGACGGACCTGAACGAGATAGGTAGGGTTTATTTATTTTAAGGAATTACAATCCAGCCCAGAGACCTCAGCACTCAGACTCTCAGTCTAAAATATTTCCCAGTTCAGAATAGTAACGGAAACTATCTCACACGTTGAACCTGGATTCCTAGATCTGCAACACTTACCAAGGCCACCAGCTATTACCACACGTCCACCAAGATGGCCAGCTACAAAGTCAGCTCTTTTGTCTCTCATGCGGATGGCACGGCTCAGCCGACTCCAAGACCCTAATTGAAAAATTGAAGAGGGAAAGAATTCAGCTTGATCTAAAGAAAGGGAAGGACAATAAAAGCTATTTAGCTCTGACAGGTAGAAACACCTAGATCTCCTTTTTCTAAGCCTGGAAGCTAAGCTGGGTTGGATCTGGTCAATTCTTGAATGAGTAACCACTACAGAGGCAATGATACACCACTTGCATGTTTTGCCAATAAAATTTCATGGGTGTGTCAATGAAGTCGCCAACAGTTGAACTTGACTTGAAGACAACTACTTTTAAAAGGCATTTAGTGTCACCAAGAAGCCTGAATTCAAGGACGGCATTTGACAGGATGAGGACTGCATGTCCTAATCTGGGTGTGTGAAACTATCGGCACAGTCAGGATAAGCCAAATGATGGATTACTCAGTCATTATCCCTTTATCATGCCTATTAATGAGAGGTAATAATAATCTTAAGATTCACAATTCTTCCATTTGACTTACACACATATATCTCTAGTTTACCTTCCTCTAAGTTAAACATCTCCACAGTGTTGACAAAGTGGGGCCGGGAATAGAAGTTATGGGGGCCGGGCTGCTGCAGTCCTCCCAAGCTGAAGAAGCAACCCTCAGCCATGGCACAGCTGGCAAAGGCACGCCGACTGGGCACACTGGGATAGCGTGTCCAGCTTCTCACTTCCAGATCAAATGCTTCGAAGGCTGTGACAGGAAGCTTGCCTTGTCTTCCTCCTGTGGAAAACAGAGACATCACGAACGCAGGTCACTCATTCTACCTGCTTTGAAGGATAGCAATGTGTAGCAAACTAAAGAATCATATCACAATTTCTTCTGAATTCCAAAACCAGGCCTATCCAAAGATGAACATCTTTGATGGAATAGTCCCAGACGCAAGCAAATTAAGATCTTGTGAAAACAAGACAAAAGCCACCAAACTCAGTTCAGCTTCAGAATGTTTTATATGACCAGAAGATGTGCCTGACTGTACAGCTAATAAACATGTAAACATGATCAAAACTGCCATCTGTAATGGAAAAGTTCTCTATTCCATAAAGAACCCCAATGCCTATGAATGACCCAAGAAGATCAAGCAACAGTGCAGAGGTAAAGCATTCCAGTGATTTCTTGCTGAAAGATAATATGACCTATTAATTTAGGATATTAAAAACAATGATAGCTATATTGGTTCATGAAGAAAAAAAATATTGCAACTAAAATGACACAAAAGTATGTACAAGCTTTTGAGTTCTCCAGAACTCTTTCGTCAGGCATGATGTTACAAAAAGCAGAGGATGGGGAAGAACCAAGAAAGTCTCCCTTGCTTTTTTTCCTCCTCTCCTACTTCTTGTAATGCTTTGTGCTCTGAAGAATTCTGGAGAATTTGAAAGCCTGCACTCTTCTTTATGTCTCTTAGATTGGTCTTAATAAAGGTATTATTATGGGTGCTGGATTTCTATCTCAGGAGAACAAACTTTGGATCAAGTACTTATAAAACCATACTTGGGCATTTCTTGACATGTAATTGGAAGGTGGAGAGTGGATACCATCATATCTCCACCAGCCCTGTGACTAGGAACCTTCTGTGACCAGAGTTAAGTCATCCAGCTAATCAACAACCAGCATTGTTGGCCTATTCCTTACCCATCACGTAGATCTTGTTCCCATGCAAGAAAGTAGAGGCCCCATAGCAGGGTGTGGGCATGGATGGTAAAGACTGCCAATGATCCTTAGTTGGCTCATACATTCGCAGGAAAGCTTGTGGAGATGTGTCTGCACCCATCCCACCTAAAGCATAAACCATTCCATCTAGAAAAAGGAGAGATGGGCGCATGTAAAAAGGACAAGTGATGGAAATAAAAAAGCAAGTTGTAATTCTACCTCATGGTGCCAGGTTTTTGCTTTTATTGTTTTATGGTGTTTTGGTTTTGTACCACTGTTGTGAGCCACGTAGAGTTGACAGCCATGTAAGCCTTTTAAATCAGTCAGTCAGTCAGTCAGTCAGTCAGTCAATCAATTTTGCCTCCTCCCTAGCCCCAACCCCATGTTAAGGAGAATAATTGGTGGATGTTTTCCTGACAGCTGGTAATGTTTGCTTGGACAGGAGGGAAACAAAACCAACCCCCCATCACCTTGCTTAACATGTCTTGTACAATGCAAGTGAAGACAACACCACTGGCCAGCATTTTGCCTGTGGCAGGACAGGGTTGCCAGTAAATGTTATATCATGTCGTTTTCTGCCAGCACAAGGGCTGGTGGAAAGCAATTTAACTCAGCCATGAGGTAGAATTCTAAATAATAAAAAGGTTTTAAAAATAGGCACTGTTGCCTAGAATTGTTTTTAACACTAACCAAGGCAAGACATAGCAATAAAAAAGGTGCAGGAGAAATGTCATTGCTCATCCCTTTCTAAATCAAGTTCAAAGGCTGGTTAATCTACACAAAATTCTAAACACTTCGAGACCGGCGCTGGCTCTTCTTGTGCCAGCTTGCCTTTGCTCTTAGATCTGGAGGGAGAACTATCTTGTCTCACAAACAGACAAAGAACTTTAAGTGGTGACATGAGGTAGTAGCTTTCTGAAGCATCGGCCTTGCTAAGAGACAGGCACCTAGGGAAAATAGATTGACATGTTGGCACGTAAGACCCATTTAATAACTGCAGCAAATATAGTGAGATCATCCTTTTGTTTTTCTCTTTGTTTTTATTCTTACTGAAGTTCTTGGGGATGTTATCTGCTCTAAAGTAGCTCTTTGCAAAGGGCAGGATACACATTTTTAAAACATGAATAAATAAAATCATGAAAATTAAACCAAAAACAGTTAATGATACATGAAGGAAAGGCTCAAGAGTCTTTTAGGCCTAATGCACATTGTGGTTCCCCTGAAATTACTGGAGAAACTTAAAGCAGAGAAACTGACAAGAGAAGCCATTCCTTTACAAATATAGGCAGATGCTACAACATGGCATTGCAGCAAGTTTACATAATCCCTTTTTACCATATTTATAGGCAGATGCTACAACGTGGCATCATTATTCTGACTCTCCCACTGTAAGCCTCAAAATTTAGCTTCCTCATCCCAGTGCCTTCCTGTTCTGCTGGACCAACTCTCATAAACCTTAGCCAGATGGCCATGGAGTTGAAAACCCACACGTGATTGATCAAAATGATTGGTGTGGTGCTGAATTCAGATGGAAATGAAATTCTGGATCTTTTTGAGATTATGGAGGGAGGGATGAAAATCTTTGCATGTAGAATTATAGGTGCTAGGCTACAGATCATCAAAATGAGCCTGTTTCTCTAGCATTCAAAGGGCAGCCTCTATTAATAGATGCCTAGTAGAAAAACTTGGGATCCCTCCTGTGTGTGAATTAGAATATTAATTGCTGGAATTAAATATTACCTCCCTTGTACTCACTGGCTTGGATGTTTGCATAATTAAAAGCCCAAGTGGGCCTTTGAATGCACAAGGTGCACAGCTCATTGCAGCAATTTAATGGGGGAGTCAAAAAATATCATCATCCTTTGGCCATCAGCCCCTATTTATCTTCCATCAAAACAAAGCCTGGTTTGCCTTTCTTATAGTCTACATTGCTGTGGGACAGCATAAGAGCTCTAGCACCTGCTCAACTTTAGGCTGCTTTAATTAAAGCAATTCATATTTTAGAGCCCTCAGTAGGAAAATTTCTTGGTCCGTTGGTCTGCTTTTTCTAATTCAGACCCCATCATTAGCCCCAACCTCGGACTACAGTTTTCATCACTCAGAAAATAGGACGGCTATTCTATCTTGAGATGATAAAAACTGTAGCCCAGCACATCTGGAAATAACAAGCTGGAGAAGATCCTGTGAGCGCATTTTTCTCTCTTTAGGTTGGATACCTGGATAACTGCAGATATATTTAGATTCCAACTGCCATCAGACCCAACAAGCTTATCAGTAATTATGAGCAACGCTGACTAAACTCTAGAGGGCCACAGATTACATGCAGAACATGTCCAGCTTTTTCCTCTCCTATAGAGCATGATTTGACTGCTCCAATTCCATAATCTAGATAATTGTAAAAGGAATGGTGTCCCCTTTCTTTCCTTCTTGAACAGCATTTTTACATGAGATACTATATTTAAGGATAAACTTAGCCTCTTCCTTAGGCAAACAATCATCTTGTGATCTGCAGAGGATCTACTGGACTTCTCATATCTCACATTAAAGTCTTTGATATAGCAGTAGATTTTCTAAAACTCTTTGGACACATTGGGAAGCTAGAAATAAGATACTTTCAGAATTCTAACATGGTCATCCAAAGGAATCTATAATCCAAATCAGCTACAGGTAGCCCTCAGTTTACATCCACAATTGGGACCGGAACTTCCATTGCTAAGGGATGCAGTCATTAAGTGAGTCGTGCCTGATTTTACAACTATTTTTGCCGCGGTTGTTAAGTGAATCACCGCAGTTGCTAAGTGAGTCTGGCTTCCCCCATTGACTTTGCTTATTGGAAGCCTCCTGGGAAGGTTGCAAATGGTGATCATGTGACCTCACAACACTGCGACTGTCGTAAATACATGCTGCTTGCCAAGCGCCCAAATTTGGATCACGTGAACTTAGGGACGCTGCGATGGTTCTATGTGCGAGGTTGTAAGTCACTACTTTCAGCGCCATCATAACTTCAAACAGTCATTAAACAAATGGTCATAAATCAAGGACTACCTTTATTGTTCATAAATACTATTCCCAATTATCAACAATCATTCCTTCAAAATGATCTGATAAATCAATATCTAAAAATGATGTCCTCCAGATCTTTAGGATTCCAATTCCTGTCAGCCCTAGCTAAATGTCAGAACTGACAGCAGATGTAGCCCAACACATCTGAAGACTGCCAGGTTAAGATACAGAAGCAGTATCTTAACCTGTGATTTGAGATGGATTTAGTTCCAGCAGTAAATCTGGGAAAATCAGTTGGCAACATTATCTCTCACCAATGGGAGGAACAGTTCCTGAAAGACCCCCAGGACCATATTCCTTATAACTAACGCTGTCCATACTCCCTAAAAAGTATTCTCTGGGCTTCCTCCATGATTGGTATAATCTGTTGAGAATAACGGGCCAAGTAGTCTGCCCTTCCAGAAGACAACCTGTTGAGGAAGGCTCGCTTTGTTCCCTGTACAGCATGACATCCTACCCTTCCCACAATCACTTTAAGAACCCCCAGCCCCAAGCTAGCTGTGCTCTGGTAGACCCTAGCAACTGCCTCACGTGGTACCTGGCCCGTCTAACAAATGTAACACATGAACGACACTGGGATACCAGGCTATCACAACTAATTATATTCGCCACGTAGTATCCCTGGAGACACCATGGCAACCCAACCATGCTGCCAAGTTCTGCTTCCAGCACAGCCTGCCCACCGTTCTGCACGGCGGG